AGAGAGAGAGTGGCATCAAAAGCAGAGAAAAGTGCAGGAGCGAAGATGTGGGAGGTGATGAGAGGGTCGCTCCTCTTTTCCTTCCTATTCTCTCTCTCTCTCCCACGTTGTCACCCAATCCCCCCCTCCCCTCTCATCTCCTTCCCGTTGTCCCACCGTCTCTTTTGAATGCCCCCACTCTTTTGTTATCCTTTAGGTCTTTTGCTGTCCTCCTGTTTGACTGGTCTAAACCTCAGAATCCCCCCCACCAATTGCTTTCTCTTTTTGAACCAAAAGAGGAGGGCAGGAATGGCTGCTGGTCGAGTTTGTTCGATTTGATGAAGTATTTGAATAGGTATCGAACTGACAGTGGTGTCATGTTTCAATATCTATCTTCGTGTCAGATCATCTTTATCGGATATGACAATAATATTTTTGAGAGAAGGCTATTTGTTGACTGACAATAAACACTAATTCTCGCTAGCTAGTCATATAAAATACAGAAACATTGAAGTCTGCACGCCTCACATCGTGCCTCCCTCTTCTCTTCTCAGCTTCCCTTCTTCCACCACCGATGCTTGCTTGCATATGTTTATTTAGGTCAATGACGGTGTCAGGGATGATGGCCTTTCCGTAATTTTCCTCCAGAGTCGCTTTTCCGCTTTCCTGCCGCTGCTCTCTCTAAGCCCATCATCTCAAATCTGCGGCTTCGATGCAAGACCGACTGCTACTCTAAATCTTTGTTTTATGGATCGCCCTGCGACCTCGAATCTGTCTGTATCGTGCGTGATGCTGCTACTACGCCTCCGTCTTCCTCGCCACTTGCTTTTCACGCAGATATATACATAGACTCTAATATTTCTCGAGATTCTTCGCACAAACGGCGTCTTACTAGCATAGATCGAACCCGATGTGCCACTTTTTGACTGGCTAAAGGAACGGACCCCGTAATGGCAGATCCACAATTGTGTTTGAGCTAATTCGCTCCTCGGACAGCAAAAAAGGACGGCTCCTCGTGCACCGTTCATGGGACGGCTTGTTTCCGCCGAGTGTTGGATCGAATGGAGCAACCCAATAAGTGCGGTGCGGTGGCGGTGGCGGTATTGCCTCTTCAGGTTTCGTCACATGCGCGTGCTACGGCCTTCTCTTTTGGTCAGTCTCGCCTCCGTGACCTCTTCTGCTTGCACAGTGTAGTGATCCCTTTACGTGATACGTATTCCTTTTAAGAGAGAGAGAGAGAGAGAGCATGTGGGCACTGTTCACAATGCTAGTAATGGCCTCCACCACCGGAGGGAGAAAAACGAAACCTAGCTAGCCATTCCCAACCTAATGCTCGACTGTACAAGTAGAGCTTCTTTGAGCCTCGTGCAGCCCAAAGACCTTCGTATCAAGATATGTCCTTACCTCCTCCTTTTAGCTGTTATCGTTGTTGTTGCAGGCTCGTATAACCATGTCATTAACACACACACACACACACAAAAACATACAAGTAATTGAGGTGTGAAAACCCATACGAATTAGCAAATTGGACCACTATGCCTTTAATAATACATGAGAAGGATGATGCCAATCTGGTAAGAGTGCCGAAGCAGAAGTTTCATCGATGCAGTTAGTCCAAGTCGTCTCCTCGAATGAATCCCACCGTCTCATGTCATTCATCTTCTCCGATTCCTCGTAAAAGAAAATAGAACATTTTTTTACTATATTAAGATAATTTCTACACGGATTCAAACCTTCAACATAACAATGGAATGAATATACGAGGAATCGAGGGTCGCCATCACTCGTCAGGCGGTCCCCTTCGTGGTTGACCCATGTCAGATGATGTGCCCACTGAAACGTTGCTTTCAGCTTTTGTTCCGTGTCTCCCCATTCAACCTCACCGCTGGTAAAACCGCTACGACTCTGAGGTATTTGTTCGTGGACATGAAGACACGGTGTACACACGTTGTCATCATAGGTTAGTCCGAGACCCAAGTCATCAGCAGCAGCAAACAAAACGTGGTCGTCCCCTGTGCACTGTTATCACGCAACACCAGGAGAAGAGTTCCCACAGGTCTCCTCGGAACATTGACACCGGTGATCGGGCGCACCTGCGTCGGTTTAAACTTCCGAGATGTTGCGTTGCAGGAGAGCGGAAGCATAGGGAAGGGGATGGATGAGAGCGATGGGTGTTGGACCAAACAGCTCTCCTCTCTCGCACGTACTGCGGACTCTGCGAGAAGGATGGATAGATTGTAAATGTGATTCTTTTCCCAGTTGAATTTAATGCACCATTTATTTCTCTGGTCCAAATATGCAATCATAATACTCATTAATTACTTTAAATATAAAGTAAATGAAATATATTTAACTTTCTCGGAAACATGATCAGAGAGACTTTAAAGCGTATTAATGTCGATTAAATCTTCCAATAAGATCAAATTAATTGTCTACGATTAGAGAGTTTAGAGGATCAATTAACTCCAACAGATCGGTTAATACAGGAATGAACTGTTTTGACGTAATAAAAATGATTTTTATTTTTCTAAGAATATATTTTCAACAAAATATTGAGATCCTCTCCGAAGTCAAACCCATCTATAAATCTCAAGCAAACTGCTAGTCGATATAATTAATAACAGTTAATGTTACCTTAAAAGTAAACAAAAATGTCTTTGTCACTTATAAGGCTAATATGCAAATCCACAATTTTATCAAGACAAATATGCTCAAACATAGAGGAATAAATACATAAAATAAATTTCTCGGGAGGGATATATATACATACACACCATAGTGTAAATGCCACCATGTACTTTGCGTGCATGAAATCTAATTATCAGAAGCAAACTTCGATTGCTATTAACCACCTCGTGTTATCTTTGCAAAAGATTTGGGTTGAAGTGGCAGACTAATCGAGCTTTGAGCTGCTTGTTTTATGATCAGGTCCTCGATAGTATCTCCATTGACATGTAGAGCAGAGATTGCATCTGTTACCTGTCTGATTCTTCCTCCTGCCTTCACCTTTTCCTGTTCATTTCTCCTGTAGATCACACACCACACAAGGACACTTTAAAGCTCACACGACACCAGATCATAAGCCAGATGTGCAAAGATGATGACAAAAGGAACAAGACGAGCTATTGCTGCAGATTGTGCCAAAAATTATTGCTACATTGTGAGGATCTCTAATCTGCATTTTAACACAGCTTTACAGAATGTAAAAAGTACCTGTAGATATCATCATAGAAGGCGAGACAATGATGAAGAATCTGTAGCCTCTGCCCTCTGAAGGGAGTAATGTGGCCTCCAGGTTCCTGCTCACATGTCAAGCAAAGGGTAAGAAGAGTAGAGCGTAATCCTAAAAAAGAGAACAAACAATTCAAGGTACGAGTGAAGAAATGCTGCAGGAACCAGTAAGGGATCTTACCGTGTAGCAGAGCAGAGCTTGAGCCTAGATCATGTGTAGGCATTGCAACGAAATACAAGAAGCATGAGTAAAATGGCAAGCACAAGGAAATAAATTACAGCAACATCAAATAATGATCTCTCTACAATATCCCGACTAAGCAGAATCCAGATTGCATTCAACAAGTAATAATCTACTCAAACAGATGACCCTGCACCGAATAACTCATAATGAGATCCAATGGGGATCAGAAGAGTGATCCTCATGTACTTGGATGTTTTCACGGGAAAGAAAACTAGCAAGATTAAGAAGAAATACAACTCTTATTATTTACTCTTTAAAGGCAATAGTAAACTATACACTTTCCTCTGTTTACACTACATGGAATTCTGGTTGCTCGAAAATGGCGAGCAATGAGCAGCTGAACCACAAGAACCCAAATTCTCAAAAAAAGAACAAGAAATGCAAACAAAGTTAACACACAACATTTCAAAGAGAAGAGCATGTTTGCCTTTTGAACTGCTAGTTAGTCGATCATTTGATCAATGGCGACTTGGCCGAAAATATCAGGGCATCCATCCCACTTGCCCTCTTCCCTGGCTTCCCAGTAACCACCGATATACCGGTACATGTCACTTCCTTTATCTTTTGCAAACCATCGAGGTTTCCAGCCTCTTTCCTGCATCTTTCTTGCCTGCATCACATAGTTACCGATCCATCAAGGAGTTCTAATTAAGAAAGAAAAACTAGTTTTACTACTAGTAGTGTTAGTGTCTGCTAGTAAGAAATTTAAACATGAAGGCAACAATTGATTCTAAAATTACAAATGATAAAATGCATTGTGATTCAACAGAACATTCAGTGTTGAAATTTAGAGAGACACACGGTGTTAAGAGTTGAATGGTTTTTTAAAAGAGAAATCATCAAGCAACTCGATGCAAGAACTCAAAAGTCAGAAAAACTAATTTACTAACTATGAGTATCTCTAAAACTTAAATAATGTAACAAAGAACTAAACACTTGAGCCAATACACCTTAACAAGCAACAATTGAAAATTTAGCAGCCAAAGGACTCCACAAAAAACAATAATTTCCAGTACTTGTGGTGGAAGTTCACCTAAAAAGAATTAAGAAAGAATATAATATTCCAAGCTTAACCTGACGTTGTCGCTGTTCAAGTCTCAACTTCTCAGAATTTGCCATTTCAAACTCCCCGTTCTCCAAGCACCTCTGATCAGGCCTTAGTCTTGAATCTGTTGGTGGCAATTTTTCCTGCTCAACAATTTGGGTAAACGAAAAAAGAGAGAGAAATAAATAAAAGCTTCTAACCTGAAAACAACAGGAAACACAACCCAGAGGAAGAATGCGACGAGCAAAATTATTATTCTCACCTTTAATCCAGGAGTGAGTTCATTGATTGTCATTGCAAAACGAGTGAGATTGTATCTGGTAGGATATTTAGGTGGTTTGCTACGTTTCCACAGTATGTGGGCTTCAGAAAACGGGTCAGATCCTTTCCCTTTTCCAGAGCAATCTCCATTCACATAATGCATGCTCTCATCCCATTTGCCAATGAGTGTGGCCACAGTTTTGCCACTGCGATCCTGAACTATGCCTTGCACCTACAATAGTTCATGTTTAGAAACAACCATTTCACAAAGGAAAAGCAAACAACTCATCAGATTTTTTTCAATCAAAAGCATCAGATAGAATATTAAATTGAAAATCTACAAGAGCAAGTAGAACCATAGGACTCAAAAATGTCCTATGCAGCTTCTAACAACACAAATTCTGCTTGCCTAGTTTTACTAAATATAAAACTTCCAAAAATCATAATATGTAAAACATCTATAAAGGTATAAAAAAGAGAGAAAATATGGTCCACATGTATATATGAAATTAGGCTACATAAAAAATGCATTAAAACTAGCTAAAAGAAACTGGACAAAGACATACACAGACAAGCTATTAATTTCAGATCAAGTACTCCAATATCCATAAGTTTTCAACATGGACAAATTTCATGGATCATTGTCCATAGCATTCAGATATTATATAATCCTAATAGTAATATTCTACAGGCCTGTTCAATCACATTAGACATATAACAGAGTCTAACTGGGAATTTGAATGACAAATGGATCATTTTTCTTATGTAAAATGGTGGATATATATGAAGCAGCAGATATATAATCATCATACTTGAAATTTGCTGTGAAAATAGTGGGGGTGACTGTGCTCCCTATTGTACAACAGGACAACAAGGACACACCAAATCTTTGCAGATCATGCTAAAGGATTTAAGCAAGGAAAAGCTATATAATTGAATAGTGTTCTACAAGATCACAGTACCCTTTAGGCCCTTTGGACCTCTGAAAACCAAGTGGGGCTTACAAGTCTTCCATTTGAATCGATTAAAACAACCTGACAAGTGTATACTACCAAATGTAGCATTGTCCCTCCCACAATTGGGGTTGCCAAGATAGCTAAATATTTCGAACAACTCAATCTCAAGTTCATGTTCAACTCAGGCTTGAATTCATTGAGAATACAAGCTATGTTAGCCTGGCAGGTTAAAACCCTATCTCCCTGCCATTTCCACAGTATATTATCTATCCTTGACTCTTTCTTTGATCTCAGAAAGCTCTCCACATTTCCTGGCCTGAAATTTCCACCAACCATTTTCTTCATCCAGCATTTTTTGCAACTTCCCAATCGATTCTCTTCATACATCTCCCTCGCTCTGCTGTCGATAAAGCTGTCCAAAATAACCTAGTGTTCATGACCGGCTCAAACTTGAGCACATTCTTAGCTCAAGCTCAATCTGTCGAAACCACATATGCTGTAAAGCTTAGGACAATCACGAACAACCATGTGTCTATTTAACTCAAACACAAAAAGGGTCTGTTTGTCTTTGTTCAGCTTGCTCACTCCCCTTTTTTGTGCTTTTACTGAGAACAGGTTCTTTGTTGCATAAAACAAGACTAGTAATCAATGTTTAAGCCAAGAACAATTACAAACAACAGTGTTCATCTAAATCAAACGTATTGAAGGGTCTGTTCATCTTTGTTTGGCTTGACACCCCTTCATTGTGCTTTTCCTGAGAACATGTTCTCTGTTACATAAAACAAGACTAGTCTCAAGGTTTAAGCCAACACAAAATAATCTTACTGCAGCAAATAAAAATTCATCAATGATCAACTAACACTAGAATGGACAATAAGTATTAGATAGATGAAACAACATTTGAAAAGGAATGCTACACATAAAGGGTACCCAGAAATGATGCAGCTTGGAGAAATGTCAGCTACCACCACATTGAGTATCTTAAAAAAGAACCAAGGAGACGGATACACACCTGATGAGGGTTGCGGTCTATTATTGACTGCTCCTTAAATTTTAACTTGCATGAATATTCACGATTTCCTTGTATTCGCATAGTACCATAATGATCACAATAAAGTTTTCCCAATATAAGGTTATAAATGGATGTTGTCACCTGAAATATCATAATTTAATGTTCAACATGAAGAATACAATTTAATGTTCAACATGAAGAATACAAAATCATATTTCAAATATCTCATGTAAAGACCTAATACCTTGCTCCATTGAAAAACTTCACCATCATCAAATTCGAGGGTTAGCACACCAACAGGATCAACCTGAATTGAGCGACCCCAAAACTTGCTTTTCAAATTGCTATCTCCCCAAAACCTCCATCCCTTACCCTCACAATGACATGCAACAACCATGGGATGATGACTGACCTATATAAATGGTAGAAAGGATAACAAATTAACAATGTTAACAGTTTATCATTCACAACATAAAGCATAAGTGTTTTGAGAAAACATTGTGAATACAATTGAATAGGGGAAAAGAATAAGAACATGGACACAAAAAAAATGAACATAATGGCTAGTTATGACGATAACAAGCATGAAACCAAATAAGAATTTGGTGAATATATTGATTGGGATAACAATAAACTTTCAAGCTCAGTAGATTTATCTTTATAAATGGGATACAAAATCGCAGTTACAAAAGAAATCCTACTAGGGCACAAATGCACATATCAGTGTTGTCGATGGTGCTACGTGCTAAAAGGCACCAATATTTCAAAATGCTCGGAGTGTTAGGAGCTCGTCCATCGAAACTAGGAGCTTGCTAGTGCAAAATTACAAAAAGTATAATTAAGGGTAAAGACAATTCCAAATTCCGCATTAATGGGAGCCTTGTGCATTGGACCACCATTTCCGGATACTATAGATTGATAGTTCATTTACCTTAATAAATGAACTATCAAAATTCCAAAAGGATAATTCATTTAAAAAAGGATAGTTCATTTACCTTAAGAAATGATACTATGGATTGATAGTTCATTTACCTTCAGATCCAGGCACTCACCAATACAAAATTATAACAAGTATAATTAAGGGTAAAGACAATTCCAAATTCCGCATTAATGGAAGCCTCATGCATTGGACCTCCTTTTCCGGATACTATAGATTGATAGTTCATTTACCTCAAGAAATGAACTATCAAAATTCCAAAAGGACAATTCATTTCCAAAAGGATAGTTCATTTACCTTCAAAATGATACTATAGATTGATAGTTCATTTACCTTACGATCCAGGCACTCACCAATACAAAATTATAACAAGTATAATTAAGGGTAAAGACAATTCCAGATCCTGCATTAGTGGGAGCCTTGTGCATTGGACCACCTTTTTCCAGATACTATAGATTAATAGTTCATTTACCTTACGAAATTTGTCTAAATTCCAAAAGGATATGAGCAAATTCTGATATCCATATGTCCTGTGAAACAACCTTTGACAAACATGCAAGCACATACTAAGATCTAAATATAATAAGCAAAACGAAAAGATGCACTCAACTGCAGCTAGTCACCAGATACAAATAATCATAAGATAAACTACGGGGATCTGTATGTTAACTTTACCTTTTCTGAAAAGAACCTAAGGCCTTTGTCTGGATAATCAGCCTCGTATGTTTCCCCCAGGAGTGGATTAAAGGGCTTGCAGGTTCTGCCATCCGTAGAAGCATATCCAGAAACAGCAAAAGCAGCAACGTTAAGCATCCTCATGAGACCATTGCCCTAGAAAATTTATTAGAGACGAAATAATAAGTAAAATAATAATAAAAACTGATGCCTTGCAGCAATTACTAAATATTACTGCATGGACACCACTAGTTTGTTAACATATTTTTAATTCCACGTAAAAGGAGGATGCCCAAGGAACAAGCAAAATTCTATCCTGGTGACTTCAAAGTTATCTATGACATGAATAGGGGCATCACCTCAGACTTGTTAACCCGTACTACCAGACCTAAATCTGATCCAATCATCTTGTAAATGTCAAGGTTAGATAAAGATGTGAAAACTCAAAATAACATGACTTGAATATTAAAAAAAATCTTTACAACATTGCTAGTAACTCTAAATATAAAAACAGATGCAAATGTCAGACATTTTATCTTTTATTATTATACTTGCCTGTTTACAGCTTAGCATGGTGTTTTCCAGAATGAATACATTGTAAAATTGTTGAAGTAAACGTTGAATATGAGCAATGGTACGCATTTAAGCTTGTTGATAATATTGCAACAATAAAAAGAAAGACCAAATGTAACATTAATTCACTTTAGTAATGAACTTGTCCATCAAGAAACTTATCATGACATTAATTGGTTTGACATCCAAGTTCCAATTTGGAATAGAAATGGTCACACAACAGCTAATGCAAACTTACATCAAGAAAAAACTTTGATTCAAAATATATTGCAATGAAAATTTGTTGATGAAGTGAATGGAATTTACAGATAAATCAATCCCAGATAAAATAAACCGAAATGAAAGCTTCTCAAGTTACTTTTAATAATTATAAACAATTTAGATCACTTTTATCCAATATTTGTACATCCAACGGCCTACCTTTTTGCCATACTCATAAGCTCGATCAACAAGGTAAGAATATTCCAAGTCCTCAAAACATTTTTGCAGGGATGAAAGTGGTTCATTGAAATACACAGGAAGGCAAACTTTGGTAAGATCCTTTCCAATGTTGTCCTTAATCATCGACCAGAGGCTCACTCCTTTTTCCTTTTCAATTGGATCAGGCAATTTTTTTCGTCTTTTGACATAGGGATAGTTATATCCCACATACTGCATGGAAGAATCACTAGAACCAACAGAATCAACACCGTGATCATTCTCATCATCAGAATCAAATTCAGATCTGTGGAAGTCAGATTCAGTGCTCTTAAAAGAACTTGATGAGAGAAAATCACGTGTATCAAAAAATGTATTATCTTCTTCATCAGTCTCTTCCTCAGCAGCATCAGGCTTTTCATTGTCATAATCAGATTCACTTGCACTCTCTTCTGGAGAAATATGTAACAGATGAATAAGACTATAAACAACTTATGTTTGGGCAATTATCGTCAAAGATAAGAAGACAAAATGTTACTCATATTACCGACATAAACAAGATAGACAACTCAAGTGAAAAGAAAACAGTTGTATCGAGTCATGTTCGTAAGTTTCAAAACATACCAATACTAAGGCAAGAGTAATCTTCTTACAACAAGCAATAACTTAGGCCAGCTTATGGTGCAGAAAGATTCCTTATAAAATATAAAATCTGTGATGCTAGTCAGCAAAATTGAATAAACATATTTAATGTAGGTAGCATTATAGCAAGACAAATAATGAATTGATGAAGGGTAAGAACTGGTAAAAGTAAAACCAAATGGAAACTGTCCTAACTAAGTTTCTATTGGTTCAAACGTTTGACCCAGTAGAGAACAGATCAGAAGATAGGCTTGAGAAGTGAAAAAAATTATCGTACGCATCAGCAGCATTATTGTGCCAAAATTATCCTATCCTAAAAATGCCTGGTGGTTCTCATTTATATTTTTGGGCGAATTGATTCTCAGTCAAGAAAAGTTAAAACATTCAATCAAAAGGAACGTGATAGTAGTAGACCTTGATCTTTGCTTGTTAATTTACATTCCATTTCATCTAAAGGTCAAGGAGATTGAGATACGACAAGCTTCAAATTGAACTGTTTCGTTGTGAGAAAAGCATAGGTGAGGTTAAAGTTAAAAAATCAGAAGCAATCCTCTAGAGAAATCATCCAGTAGCAATTAGCGGGTTACATCAACATTTTACAAGGCATCTGCCATACATCATACCACTATACTTCTCTTGTCTTGATCTAGCAGCCGATCCATACTCTTTTGATTGTCTTGATTGTCTTTGACCCTCATCAACCACAGTGTTCTCTAAGTCAACCTTTTCTGTCTACATAACAAAACAAGTAAATGTATGTTACACTATAAGGAAAATAGCTGGTTTGCAAATCAAATCATCTAGAATGATTAAACAAACGTAGGCAAGATTTAACGGCATATTTAAAACTTGCAGAAGAGTAGTAGGGTCCATCAATAGTCATCAACAATGATGGTACATGTGAGAATGATTCAGAGCTAATATGCAGCTTCATTAAACAGACTTCAGCCATTACTAGCATAAATGACAAATCTGATGAATGTACTATTTCTAGGGAATGAAGATAGTGTTGAGATGAATAGACATGTAACTAAACCAATGGGGATCTTGATCGCATGAATGAGGGTTTTTTATATGATGAAATTAATGATGCTTTTGTTTGTTCCTGAGGACTTATAAACCACCCCGGTGAACTAAGACAAAGAAGGGAAAGAAACAACTTATTCTGATACTGCTTGGACACTGTTACTTTTTATCTGTCAAGTCTCCACATGAAACAACTTAGTTTAGCTCAAAATAAATCAACACGAAGTAGATTCCAAAGGCATGGTAATTTGCCCATTTCTAATCAATGCCTAAATTCCCTAACAAGTTCATTATTATTCTAGAAAAGCTATAATTGTCCAATTTAAATCCACTGCACCTAATTACAAGCTGTGTTAAATAAACATGAAGAAATAAGAGGATTACATTTGGTTCTAGGTCGCAATAAAGGAATTATTTTATTGTTACTAGGAACTACTCCTACTCCCCTAACAAACTTGGGACCATAAATTGCATCACAGCCCTATTGCTCCCATGTGGTCAATCTACAGACTCAGTTGGGCATGTGCACATGTAGAGGAATGTGCCAAAATATAGTTGTGGGCAGCATGAGCACAGCAGTGCGCCCATACCATGTCAAAACTCACTGATCAATGACAGGATTGCTCCATGCCCTGATTAAGAACCCCATTCCTAAAGATGGTTTGATTTTTGTTCCTACTTTGAAAAATCAATAAGGTTTCCAGTTACAAGAACACCAAACTCAAGATATGCTTTCAGTAACATGCTTATCAGGAGTCCACACATAGCGTACTTGCTCAATTGCAATGTTATTATTTCTATCCAAATAGAGATTGCTTTTCATGGCCTCTGCAGGTGGCTACACTAAATTTTTTTTGGTAAATGACAACTACCAAAATGCTTACAGGGGATGTCTCACCAAAAGCTTGTGGAAAACATCATACCAAGGAAAAAGAAAGATTAGGTCAACTATACTAATGTTGACGAAAACTCAAGAGCCCCGAGTACCACAAAGCTGGCTTGCTAAAAACAAGCTAATTAGTGCTTAACGTGAAAATAATAAATGTAAATCTAAGCTGAAATTACAGAATCAATTTTTTGGAATTGATATTTGTTTATTTTAGGACAAAAAGAGAATAACGTCAATAGATATAACAAATATTCACACATCCAAGAATCAGAAGAAGAATCCGTGATAACAAAGACATCCTTTTTATACCTCTAATTGGCCAAGATGGTCAACCAGGAGGTTTTGATTCTGTTTAAGAAGCATCAACTGGTTCTGCAGCGCAGCAAATTCGCTTCTCATGATCTGCTCACATTCCTGAATCGTTGCCTCGCCCACCCCTTCCTCCTGTAGCCTCTGCCGCAATTTATCCGTAGACACCACCACTTTGTCCACCGATCCCGTGAACTCACCGTTTGAATTCCTCGGAAACATATCCTTTACCGCCTGCAGCGACTCCATCCATGCCACCCGATCCTCCCGCGTCTCTGCCCTCAGATGAAGTCTCCTGGTCCCGGTAAAGATGGAGAACCTCTTATCATCTGATCTACTCTCCCGAATCGATGAAACCTAAAGACAGAAAGAGAAGAAAATTCTAATTTTTGAAAGAAACCAGATTAGGTTATCTTGCAATTGGATAATCGATGTGGGTGCGACTCTGGCCTTGAGGTGGACTTCGCCGATGGGCTTGCGGGGGAGGTGGGTACGGCCGTTCTTGCGGCGGGAGATCCGGCGGATAGACTCCTCGCCAATGACCTTGGAGCCCTTCTCGGATTCCTGGCTGACCTCGATGCGGTCCGGGCCGTGGATCTTGTAGTAGGAGAGGACGCCGTCCTGGAGCACGAACCAGCGCGGCCGCCAGCCCTTGCCGTAATTGACCCACTTGTGAAGAATCCCAGCGATCCCGTTGCCCACGATGTTGTTGAGACGGACCTCGCGTTGCTCGAGGGGAGCGTCATGGAAGGAAGAGCGAAGGGAGGCAGAGGCCAAGATCTCCGGCGCTGGGCCAGATGCGCGGTGGTGGCGGCCGTGGTCGCTGGCAGCGGCGCCGGCGGGGCCCGATGGCCGGCAGGAGCCGCCGTTGTTGATATGGTTCTGGTGCGGAAAGGAGTCGCGGCTGCGGCCGGCGGCCGCCGAGGAGGAGGGCGGCGGGGGAGGGGGAGGCGGAGGAGGGGGCAGGGCTGGGAGGGAATGAGTAGCTGCGGAAGAGGAGAAAGCGGAGGCGGCCGCGGCGACGGGAGAGACGGGGACGGGGGAGGCGCAGCAGAATGGATTCATCTGTCGATGTATTCTATGAGAAAAGAATTGAGACGAACCGAGAGAGGAGGAGGGTGAAGAAACGGAGGCGGTGGAGATGGCGAGGGAGACGGAGATCGCGGCGGCCACGTGCGGGCACTGCGGCTGCGCTCGTCTCTCCCCTATGCGTGGTTCGGTTATTTCGTGGTAAACAAATCAATATCATGTAGGGACGACGTTGCATAAATATATGCTCTTGTAAACAGTAAGTTACTTACATTTCCCTTTTAGATCGCCTCTCACTCGCATCCGCACATGCACAGTTCCCTGCATTTTCATTTTCCTGCAAAAAACAAAATACTTATTCCTTTTAATTTAAATAAACATATATTATTATGATTAATATCTATTTGTTAATTATCATTTGACTGTTGACAAAATCATTCAAAAACTAAGTATGATTATAAGAACATTAACAGTATTTCAGGCATTTAGACATGTTAATTCAGACTGACTAATATTGATCATAATTCATAAAGATTAACCCGAATGGTATAGAATGGATGCGGTCAGGAGAGGTATATGCTAAGGACAAATGCGGTATCAATATTTCGAAGGGTAAATATGCTACTGTCATACTTGAAAGGAACCTGTAAAAGTCCACCATATATATGATTAGATTAAAATTTCCGATTCCAAATTAAATAGCCTGTTGTCGTTCCCAGTGATTCAAAAAGAATTTTGGTGAAATTTAGGTAGGGTTCCTGGCCTGGTCTTTTAATACACTGCTTTCTATGTGTGGTTGTCGCTATCTAAGATATTACACTCTAAGAAATACCCACGCGAAAAAGCTGAGCTTTTGAGGCGCATCGTTTCTGAGTTGTTGAGCCAGGAGAGTCAGAGTGCATAACTTTTTACATCCATATATTAAATTTTTTGTGTTATATTAAATTTAAAAGAACACTCGTACAGAAGAGCTAAGCATTTGAAGGGAATATATCTATATCATCGACGAGAGATAAAAAAACAGAGCATCCTAAGGAAAAGAGGAATGCGTGGGTATCAAATTGTGTATTGTTTTAGACGCAGGAGATTAAACTTCATTACAGAACAAAGTAGGTTAAATAAGAATTAAAGGACTGGTTATTAATCTAGAAACACCATCATGACCGGCTGCACGGGTGAGATTTCTGGAAGAGGTGATGCCAAGGAAGTGCCTGCACGGCACGAAAGAGGAGACGTGGCTGTCCGGGCTCGGATCGGCTCAGAAAAAAAGAAGTCGATAAGTAGCCCGACCGGTCCAAGTGGGTCAGTTAACAAATTGGATCACCAGCTCATCTCTCTCTCTCTCTCTCTAGTAATTTTAGGTGGATTAGGTCAAGACGCGTAAGAAACCCCCTTCTCTCACAGACCGAGTATGACGGCCCTACTGGTGCGACGGCTGCTAGAGTTTGGTCAAAAGAGAGCAAACGAAGCTTTGTTCTTTTTCCGTGTAAAGCTTCAAGTCACCGAAACAAGTCACATTAATTGAAGTCTCTTGCACCAAACCATCCTAATAGGATAAAAAGGAAGGGCATGGGATGCACGTTAGCATCCACTGATCTTTCTCTTCCCCTTTGGATAGAACTTAAAATTAAAATAACCATATACCAAAATTAAATGGATGAAATTTAAATATAAAAACAACATAAGCGACTCGGATTCCTTCCAGTATATGAAATTTACCTTACTGTTGTTGCACGGATCACAACGTGGAAGCACGGATGCCCGAACTCACCCAAAATGTAGAGAGTCGAACGTGGAAGCACGGAAGCACCGACCCTGCAATCCAATTGTTCACAGTCAACGGTTGATTGGAAACTACAAGATTATTAACCACAATAAAATTTTCTTGTCTCTGTCACTAGTGGATCAGTTCATCTACGTAATCTTAAAGTCTGAAGACCATATCAAAGTCAAAAAGTTTCATCTATATCTTCATCATAACCTGTGGTCAAGAACGGGCGTTTTGTTGTATCAACAGGTGTGAGTAGTAATCACGAGAAACTCTCTGGTTTTAGTCGCATTGATGAAGCTGTCTCTGTGGACCACAATGTTTTACCTAGTCAAGAAAAATAGCTTGAGCAAGAGGATATTAATTCATACCTGATGCGCACATTAGCATGATCTGGACTTGAAGCCACCACAAATTAAAGTTGCCAAAAATGCTGAACTTTTAGTCTTAGTCCATTAGACTTGGAGTCATGCTTGCAGTTACTCAAGCTCCTGTAACTTTCTCGAGCCTGAATGGCTGGCCTTAAATGCTAGAGCTAAGGTTAACAGCAATACATCATTCATCAGATCTTCATAGATCAGACTTAGTCTTAGTCCACTTCCGATATAGAACTAAACCGGGGTATTACAGTTTGAACTGCATTTAATAGTTTCGACCAAGTCGAACCAGAGTGGTGCCACTTTGAATTGGCCAAACACAAACACTACCACTCAAGCATAAATACCTAAAGTTGATAACTTGATAGCAGAAAATTTGACATAATCCAATTGCAAACCAAGGATGTCACATGATGCAGGAGTAGGTGCGGTCAAAGGAGTGGCAGCACAAGCTAAAAAGCAGGATGCTTGTGTAGAAGATAATTGCAACCGTACTCAGGACTTAAAGAAGAAAATTTTCTTGTCGGTTTGACATATGATTCATTATGTAGTGCAAGTGAAGTTTTATTCCTGGAATTCATATGAACATGAAGATTATTTTGCAAGGGTTTACCTCAGAGTCAAGAAGCCCGGCAATGTTGCTCTTCCCCTTCGACTTGCTCAGATAATCTCCTGCACAATCCGTAGTCATTGGGTGGTTAAATCCTTGCGGTTTCATCCTCTTTAGGGCACAGATAGAACAATATAGTGATAATGACTACATACTTTCCTGCTTCCTCCACTTCCTATCTTATCATTCTTTCTATGAAAAGCAACTGGATCATAATTCATCGATATTTAGCGATGAATTGTTTGTCGGTGGAATTTGAGATCGACCACAAAATCCTCTCCGAAACATTTTTGCCAAATGACGGTTGTGTTGACGATCAACAGAGCCCTTGTTCCGTTGGGAAGAGCACGATCCTTGACACCTGATGACACCTCCGTGGAGGAAGAAGATACCTGAGCTAGAAGGGAAATCTGGCAGCATGCTGGGCACGCGTAGACCGAAACGTCGGACCTGCGTTCACCGACAACGCAGAGAGATCCCGAGGCACAAAGCCCCAAACTCTTTAACTTTCTCAGAACAACAAGAATCCCCCGTCGAGCCAAGATCTTCTACAAACAAGAAAACCGTCAATGTCATCGGACGCTACGAAATGAACCGATTTAGGGCAGACGACAAAAGAAAAAGAGAGAGAAGCGGAAGTGGAACTCAACTAGAGATATGTGGCGCTCGACGACGGCATGCGCCCGGCGAAGGAAATCGGGGGGAAGAGAAAGAGGAGGATGAGGTTGGCGTCGGCTGGGATCAGTGCTCAGGAAATCTCCTCTTCTCCCACGAATCGCATCGTCTTCGACTGCGGGAAATGAAGAGATTTCAAAAACGGGCGGAAAGCCGCGCCGTGGTTCCATCAGGTACCCGCGTCAAGATGCGTGAAAGAAAAGAAGTGAACAGGACCGTTCATTTTGCCGAAGTGAAACTGGTGATTGTGACCGTAGACCTGATAATAAAAGGAAAAAAGAATACAAAAATTCTGCCAAGAAATGATGATCGCATCAAATCAGCTGCCGAATAGACGACTTTTTTAAAGGAATATTCCTTCGAAATCTGCACCAGTGTTGGTGGCTGCACCTCCAATCCCTAATCCCCATACGCCAACCCAAAACGGTGCACGAGTGGCGTAGACAACTTTTCTTCTTCCACTTGTAACGACGAGATTTGACGGTACATAGAAATCGAAACCCCCTGCGTTTATATAAATTGCTCTAATGTGTTAGGGAAAAAAAAAGAGAAAAGAATGTCGTCCTTATCAATCCAATTTATTCCGAACCCATATATTCTAAGGTATCTGATGGAGATGGAAATATTGAGTTCTCGATGTGTCACCCACACGAAAACCAATATTAAAAGATATTTTTTGATTTGATCCATGCAACGTTTAAATTAATAACCTAAAGTTTGATTATACAGTTGCAAGTGGCCAAAAAAGGTTTAACCCTCATTTTCCATATGTCGAACGCGATGAAAAAATCATTATTGGTCGCAATCCATCATCGCCCTACGCCTCCACTTATGCTCGCTATTGAAACGGGCTATGAGAGGAGTTTAAGCGGGCTGTAGGTGGTGCAAAGGTGGGACTCACATCGAACAACAAGTCCATAGTAAGTAAGCTGCAAAGCCCCATCGTTGATCTACCGCTCTTCTCTTACTCACTATCGAAGCGAGTTGCGAGAGGAGTCAAGGCGGGCTACGAAGGTGAGTTCCTCTCTTTTCTCATCTACGAGAGACCCACCTCGAGTAGTGAGGGCTCGTCTCTGCCCAAGGTTGTCACAACCCAAGCTTAATAGGCGAATTAACTTATCAACTTTGTTTGACCCAAATTATTAATAAAAATGCTTAAGCTAAAATTGATAGTAGTAAATTTATTAGACTCTAATCAGGGGTGTTACATTGTTGCTCCCCTTAAAAGTACTATGAGTCGGAGATAGAGCTTCTTCACTTAAGCATTCATTAAGAGCATCGACATCGGATCCTTGTTTTAGCACAAAAAATAATAGAAAAAAAAAGTCGTTAATGTCGTGGTTAGCCCAATATTGTTCAGACCTATATGTATAGGATTGCTCGAAGTACCTCCAAAATGAAAACGTTGAGCACCCGAGGTGTCACCTGCATCAAGACTAAAGTTGAGAGAGATTTTTAGATCTAATCCCTCAGATGCTTAAATTAGTAACTCGAAGTCTAAAAGTATATATGCGAGTGGTAAAAAATGTCCAACTCTCTTTTCCATGTGCTGAATGTAAGCTTATATACTGTGAAGAGATAAATGGATAAAATATTTTATGAAATATTCTGTTGAGAGATAACCTACGATTGCCTCAAACAATCACCTATTGACCTCTTGTTCACGTGGGTGATTGGGGGAGAGGAGGTAGCATGTAACTACCTATCTTGAATTATAATTATAACCTCCGTGAAAGGCTCGAGATACTATGTCTATCTCTATATCTTCGTTGCTCATTAGGAACGATGATCCAATGCTTATTTTAAATTCCAATTATGTTTGATAAATTTTTTTAGATCATATTAAGTTAATATACATTTTTTTATATTTAAAAAATACCTTATGACATCATTAAAATTATAATATTACTAAAATAATTTAGTAAAAAATCAATACGATTTATATTTTTATTTATTTATTTATTTTATATTTGGGCTATATTATTTTTTTATTTACTTATTAATTTAAAAAAAAAACATTATAATGATAAATTTATCATAAAATTTTCAATGAAACTTTTAAGATACAATCAAAACATTAAAAATAAAAATATGTTCCCAAACACGATTTATATTATCGTCATACTGATTGTGTCAAATCATCATCATATCGATTACGTGTTGTGGATAGATCGAAGTGTCTTTAGCCCATTGGGCTACATATGGAAAGACTTTGATTGATTATCTATGATTCGATTTGATATTTTATTTTTAGTTTTGATTAATTATCGTATCTAATCAGATCACTAACATAATTGGATCGACTCGATGGTATCGAGAATGATAGACTCATTTAAACTTCACCGAGTTCCTATCAAATTCCAAACCCAAAACACAAACTCGCGTATAGTGAAGCCCAAACCTCAATCGACTAATCACACACACAATCCGATCCTTCGTGAGCAGCTCACCCACTATGTAAGTAGTTTATGTGACGTTGATGATAACGAACGGGACATCATTCTAAGGCACTGACACAGACGATCGATTGATTATAAGGAAGCATTATAGAAGAAGGAGAAGCTGTCTTTATTACTCCCAAACATTCATGCATGCATGACGACAACTAGGAACAACTCAGCGCCTTGCGGCAACCGGAGAACCGCCTATCACCATTGCGACGCCTCCACAACCACGAAAGCCTTCCCAGTAGGCACCTCCACATTCCCTGAACGCACACAAAAGCACCATTAGAGAGGAAGGAAGAAGAAGAAGAAGAAGAAGAAGAAATCCCGGCAGCTTCGTGTGAAACGTTCACTCACTCGACAAGAACATGAAGGAGAGTGTTCGGCAGCAGGCACGATAGCGCTGTCCTCCTCTAGTCGCCTTCTGATTCTGGTCAGAATTCGACGAATCCACGCCCGAGTTCGCCGTCGCAAAGAATTCCTCTTCTTCATCTAAGACATTCCAACTCAAAACAAAAGCCGGTCTCAGTCCCCATCCTAACCCTACTCGTTAGTACACAAGCTTCTCATCTCACCAGTATCAGCTAAAGGAGGTTAGTCGTCTAACTTACACCACCATGATTCCGCAGAAAGGCTGCCTTCCATTGGCCCCAACTCGGCCTGTGTACGATCTTGCAGCAGCGTTGGGTTGGCTGCTCGTGGCACTGTCGCAGCTGCTGAGAGTAGGCAAGCAGCATCTTCCTACGGTCGTAAGCGAGCGACGACGGTGCACCGAGTCGACTCCGGCGCTGAATCGGACGATTAGCACCGGGTCTCGGCGGTGCTTCCTCGTACACTTCGATGATGATTCCGTTGCTGGTACGTCGTTCTCGCTGCTGCTGCTGCTTCGCCTTCCCAGCTTCCATTATTCGATCTCCTCCGATGCGGTGTAAGCGGCTGGTTTGACAGGATCGATCGTCGATAAGATGGGTTAAGATCGGAGGCCCGGTAATGTCGTTGACCGCTTCGTTCTCTTCCGCCTGTGGCCGGCTGCCCAAGGCAATAGCAAGCATTTGAACAGGTCAGCCTCGCTGTTTTCTCCGCCCTTTCGAGAAGGAAGATTTAGTTGATGGAACACGCAGCGAGTTCGAGTTCGCATGGAAGTTGCCTGTCCTCGACCTCCATCGAGACGTCCTCCATCGAGGTGGTATCAATTAGGAGAATTTATGGTGGATTTGAGCTGTTCAATGCAAACATCTCTGTAAACAGGTAGGATTCTTATTAGCCAGCCAAAAAGATCTTCGTGGAGGTGCGTCCGTCCTCCCCCCTGCGAAAGCTTTCACCGAATCCGCATCGTCAGATTCAATTTCAAGGCATTAAATGCACCAACAAGTGTGCTTGGCCTCATCAGATACGGTATCATCGATTCATTGCATCTACTGCTGCCATCCAAGATTCACTTGTAGCCGGACAAGAAACACACAAACTTCGTGACCGTACGCAAAAGAAAACCGACTCCTTAATCCTTGAGACTCGTGGGAATCCATGGAGTCCAACTCCATTGGAAATGCAATAAGAGCTCAACAAGCCTCTACAAGCCAAGAACTCAACAAGCTCATAGAATGGCCGGACTCTTTTAGAGAAGGAACAGTTAAAAACACATATGTTAGCTAATCGTCAACTTCATCAGCAATGCAATTCCATAACACCAATGGTTCCAGCAAAATAAAATCACTGTACAGATCGCAGGGACATGACACAGATCATACCTTATATATACCCGTACGCTAATTTGGATGATAGCTGTCTTTTAATATCAACTTTCCACACAATTTTATCATCATCATCAGAGTTACATATTTCCACAACAATAAAACTAGATATTCCACCTGCTGTCATCAGCTATACATCAACAGAAGGCAGTGGAATTAAATGCTCCCCATGTTACATATGAGGAAGACAAATTAACTGGCAGACCCACATCACATACCCCTCTACTCATCGCAAATTCAAAGTTTTGATCTCCAGATTAAATTTTGATGTTGATGAAATATAACGGGACTTGCAGGAGGAACAAGCTTTAATGTTTGCTATATCAGTACATATTTATGAAGAAAAAAGAAAGAACAAAGGGAAAGAAATAATTTGAATTTGAACATACACCACACCATCACAACAATCTTGTACCATGTACTGATGATCTTCCCAGGCTCCTCCTCCTATGCTGCCTTTCAGAACGGGTTATGCCTACAGCACTCCTGTCATCATCATGTTCCTCCAAGCGATAACTAAATGCTGCATCACGCGAAGCACGATCAACGATGGTTGGAAGATGACCATTGCTCCCTTCTCTAGCATTACCTACACGGCTTCTTCTAAACCTCCTATTACGGGCAGCCTCCCTCATGAGTGCGGTAAAGATACTCCGACCATTCCTCCGTCCAAAGATACCATTTGCGTTATCGAAAAAATCATCATTGTAGTCATCGAAATCGGTGCCAGAGTCACTGTCATCATCAAAGTCAGAGTCACTGTCGTCCATGTCTATCACATAATCTCCCAATATAACTGCCCTAGGCATTGAAGATCTTATTGTACTGATCACATCTGCCCGCTCACTCTGGTACTCGAGATTTCTCCATTTCTGTTCGAGAACAGGATCCACTACATGGGGCTTCGCACAAGGGTGCTCAGACCTCATGTGCTTACGAAGCTCTTTGTAGCTACCGATGAATGAGCAGTCGTCCTGCATGCAGCTTCGCCTCTTTTTGTTGAGATATTTACGTGCTGGTTCCACCACAGTCCATCCTTTCACCTGCCCTCGGCATAGAGGGCATGCTAACTCCACTACCTCGCATTTCTTCCATGCAGGCAAATCATGGATCCGACTTTCCACCAATGAAGTTGTTTTAGCATATGCCTTCTTGAATTGTTCAAGACAATTAGAAAAACGGCAGCTGGTTGCACACATGTAGGGGCGACAGCCCTTGTCATGAGATGAACAAAGGAGGAGTACAGCATTGTGTGGAAATTCCATGCACACAGGGCAAGTAGCACCCTTCCAATCCTTCCTCTCCAAGGTAAAAGATGTCTTCTTTGAAGACCTTTCTGCTGAAATAGGTCGTTGATATGAAGGCACCGGATATGGAGTCGACCGAAACTTCCGAGATGAATTTCTGTGATAGCTTCTGATTCTTCTTGCCATTTCTTACAAAATCTAATAAAAAAGAAGTGAATTTCTGGAAATTTAGGACCACAGCAACCAGATTGCGTTGATAAAGATGACATCAAAAGAATAATAAAGAGATCGGTCACCATAGGTATGGGGCAGAAAATAGGCATCCACGCGTGTATGTCATTCATAATGAACAAATCATCACATGGTTTTAGAAAAAGGAAAAATATCTCATACGTACCTGATCCAATTAAAGGTTAGGCAACAAAAAAGAAAATACTGGAACATAAAACAGGAATCCAAGCCATTTTGTTAATACGCACAACCCATCGACATATACATACCTGATCAAGTTAAAGAAAGTGCAACCGAAAAAAATAAAAAACATCAAATAATGGAGCATACAAAATTCCTCAATAAAGTAACAAGAGATTCATACTGTTATTATCTCCAGAGAGACTAATGACAAAGTAAAAGAAGTTTCCAAAGAAGTTTCTAAGAAAGATCACAATGGATTTTTCTTTTCCTTTCAAAGATCCCACTTTAAAAAACTTTATATACGAACAAAGTTGTGACGACCAGCATGGGCAGAAAGGAAGTAATGCTACTTATGGACGATACAGCATTGACACCATTGATTGTCCTCCAGGCACAAGCAAATTCAACTACATTTTTTTTATGTTGGCGCTTCAAAATTATGACCAAAGAATCACCATCGCAAATTAATCAAAGAATCCTTTGACACTGCTCCCATTTTGTGTCATATTGAAAAAAGAAAAAAAAAATCTAAAACTAGGCACTTAACATGAATGGTGACAATTGTTTATTCTAAAATTCAGAAAGCAAAGACTTCTTCAAAAATTATCAGAAATATAAACAACAAACAATAAGAAGAGATGTAAGCCAACCTTGACCTCTGTGATCTAGAATCTTCTTAGCCAATGGGAAAACCCCTCATAATGTGATCATCAAATGCATTTTTAATCATTTGTTGTTCCTATAACACGAAATCCACTAACATAGACTCAATGCTGAAAGAGGCCTTCGAAACTATGCAAAAAGAACTAAGGTTAATTGTTTCACTATAGTTCAATTATCATGTTCCACCCTAACACTTAAAAGCTATTTTCTTACAACAGATTTATCTGGGGCAGTGAAATACTCCTGGAGTCAATAATATGGTTGCCTATTTTTTTCAAACCCAACTTCATTTAAGAAATCATTCAGATTTGCAGAACCAACCAAAAGCGAAAAGGTAATAATTCTTCCCATTTATCATTTTCATATAATTGATCAATGATGTTGAATGTCTCAATATAACTGATCTTTCGATGTATACACACATCCAAGTATAGTATTGTTTTGATTAATGAAGTCAAATGTTAGAATATGACTGATCTTCTGATGTATATATGTTACATAACTGTACATATAGTAAAGTGTGGAGTTCGAAGCTTTTTCGAGACTTGTTCTGGTATTCTTAGTGGCAGCTCCATGAGTCTTGAAAACCAACAATCCTGTAAAGAACTGGACCTCTCCTCAAATTTCTAGAATCTAAGGAAAATTCAGAGTACAAAAAACAAAAATAAAGGCAGAAAAATTATGTACCTTCAGATTAAGTATATGATAGAGTTTCCAGAAAAGATAGAATAAATTGTGTTTTCATTTGCAGACAATTACGAATCGTCCCAATAGAGGATAAAATGAGAGAAAAATAATAATAAGTCAACATGTTATATATATAATGAGAGAATTATCTATTTGAGCACAAAGTAAGATTTTAAAATCCTTGTTGAACTTATTAAAACAAGTCATAAAATAAAAATGGAAATGTCTTGAACTTACAAGCCTTGCCCACTTGGTCATATAGAATCATGACTGTCACAAGCATAAACCATACAGTTTCTTTCTGTAATCTAAGACAAAATCGAGACCATAAGTCCGTTGGTCAACCAGGTGGTCGATAGATATCTTGGCAGAGGTAACACAAAGTCAACATGGAATATCAATATTCTAAATCCTGCTACAAGGAAACATTTCGTGATTCCATAAAACTCATAAAGGTTCGGTAACATGACAATCAACAATTCAGATAACAATACACTACATAGATTGCTTCAAGCAGAAGAAGAATTAAGAAATGCTCAAAAACCACATTAATGGTTACAACTCGATTGTCAGTTCAAACTTTCCCAATAAAGAAGAAAAGAAACAAAAAAAGACACCCAACCCAGAGCAAGGACTGGTGATATTTATGAACGCAAAAAAAAATTGCGGTCATGTGAATCAAATAACACCAGAAAGAAAAGCAAAAGGTGCGCCTAAATTAGTGGATAAAGGAAAGAGCATCAACACGTTCTTGAACCTAAACAAGTATGACTTCAAAAGAATCACAAACATAAGATCTCGCGGCAATCAATCGGAAAACGTCTCCAACAGACAACGTTTAATCATAAGAAGAGTGACGGTGAATCTTTCCAGGCGTAAGAAAACGAAAGACGAAATCTTGATGCGAGCAGTGGTGCAAGATTCAGTCCCGGAGGCGGAGGAATGTGCAGAAACAGCGTCAAGCCCTAGAAATCAAACGGGCGTGGGAGGGAGGGAAAAGAGGAGGGAGCGACAGATATGGAAAGCGACGGAGGAACGAAGAGAGGGGAGAGGGGATTCGTACCTAGAATGCGGAGACCGTGGGAGGCGGTGGTGATGGAGGGCAAGGGCGGGCAGATATCGCCCTTCCGACGGCGATGGCGTTTCTGAGGTGCGGCTCTTCAGAGCGATGATGGGGTGGCTCCCACTTCCTTCGTTTTATAGCGTCGCTTTCGGAGAGAGAGAGAGAGAGAGACAGAGAGAGATCTCTCGTCACGCAAGCCCCGACGACAGACACTTTATTACTACCACCACCGAAACGTCCCCAAGTCCTTCTCCTCCTGCGCGACCTCTCACAAACGGACACAACGTGCAAGGGCCCACTCAAAGATCAGATCCCCTTCACTGACCCATGCGTCGGATCCGGCGTGCCGCGAGTAGCCAAAAGAACTCCTCCCAACGTGTCAGTGGATCCTTTGTGGGACCCATGACCTCGGGCCAATGGGAAAGCGTTCTTCTCAGCATAGAGCGTTTTAGACCATATTCGTGAAATATTCTGAGCATATTTTCTAATCCGTTTAATCAACCATTGCCTTTTTTCGGTATATATATATATATATATATATATATATATATATATATATATATACACACACACAACACACACCAATTAAAGAGTGCAGGGGCATATCCCTCCAAATACTAGGATTCTTCACATATGCTAATTCATTAACCACAATAAGGTTAACATTAATTTATAGACATTTAATAAGATCATGAATTAGTCAACATGACATAACTACTGCCATGCAAACAAACCTATTGATTTAGTTCCTTGAAAAACACATTAGTCTAACAGATATACTCTAATTAACTTGAGCTATACTGGACAAAATTAAAGGGACTCATCAGATAAAGTGGTGGCATACACAGTACTCAAACATGATCATTAGAAAGTTTTGAAGAGAGATGTGCTAAGGTATAAATAGTGGTATCAAACCCCATGATGAGAATTCCAGCCAATCTTTGATATCTTTCAATGCAATCCGGAACATTGTTGGCGGTAGTCAAAATAATAGTTCTGGTAATTGATATCATCAAGTTTGTCACTACAGAGAAACCTATCAATTGAAAAAATGACCAATAACTTGTAGATTGTCAAACACAGCAGCTTTCCATGGCAACGTTGTGGATTGTCAAACACAGTGCAAGTGGTGTCTCAAAAACTTGTTGGAGCACTTGAAATATGGTCATCAGACAATGTAGATTCTATTAGATGTGCAGCTATTTCGTTCTCCATGTTATTTCTAATTTACAGCAAGAGGTTGAAGACCAACTCCTGCTTCAAGTGGAGTCTATTCTGGCCTTAAAGCTTAAGCTTCTTCCGATCTCCATCTTGTCTTGTGTGTAAAGTTCTTGACATGTTTCTTTATTTTGTAGAGAAACAATAGTGCGACAAACTTTCTCTTTCTCTGTTTCTCCTAGACAAAAGAAATCCGAGATTTAGAAAGAACCATGATGAATGCTTAGAAATTTACAGCCTCCTATTTCTCGCACGACAACGATATCATACCTCAGATGAAGGAGAACAAGCAGTGCACCGATCAATGTGACGCTACCAGAGATCGACTTGTGCACCTTCTTTCTCGGGTTTCTTGTTGCAGCTACAGTTCCCTCATTGCTTTTACCACAGCTTCACCTCGTCTCTTTCTTCAGTAGAATCAGGAACTGTGTGGTTTATACTCATGCTAACATCATGCATGAGATGATGAGCTTGATACCTAACCTGCAAGTTTGTCTCAACATAGACATCACCTTTCTCTTCAGCTAGAATTCCAGGATTTGAGCACGGCGAACTTGCTTGAGTCCTAGTGTGGTCATCGCTAAAAGTTTGCCGGAGCACCAGTATGAACAGTAGCAGAACAATCACCAGGTTCAGAAGTACAAAGAGTTCAGGTGATGTAGCCCATATATTCCATACAAGGAACATCTTTTGAGAAACAGCTGCAGGGTACTTGAAAGTTCTTAGTCACTTCAACTCCTCCAGTCACCAACCGACAAATCTCATTTTGATTTTTTATCAAGGTTATTATTAATATTTCTCCCTCCAATATTGTTCATCATTTGTGGGGAGGTCTTGTATGCATTGTTTAGAACAATTTTATCTGAATGCTGCAGGCACAGAGGACTAGAGTCATGAACAGAAAACACTGCAGTGGGTACTGATGAATGTAAATGTTCATTATTTTTTAGTTCCATAAGAGTTTGTTCACTGTATAGCCCACAATCGGTTGACATGCATGAATCATCAGTGGTAGAAGCAGACATTGAATGCTCATAATTAGTATCCAATCCAATCAAATCTGAACTGCTTTCTCTGAAAGATTCAAAGGTATTCTCGTGCTCCTTATGATGGTTGGATCTATTCTGTCCAATCTTTTTCCCGAAGATGTTTGATCCAACTTCAACCATTAAATCTCTGTTTGCTTCTTGTGGATCATGATATAAACTATTACTTTGTCCATCCATGTCCATTACCATCTCAGGTTCATTTTCTGTGACAGGGTTGTCTGGTCTTAATTCACTCCAAGCACTGATCAAGTTGGTACAAGCTCAATTTACAGTTGACACACTATCAATTACGGCATCTTCATCTCTACGCACTTCTAAATCATTAAGTTGCTGGTTTGTATCCCTTGGTAGATCATCATTATAAACATATGCCTTTTCCGGCATTGCTGTGCCCAAAAGCATTGTTCTTTCTGCCTCTAAAATTTTATAACAAGGTGCAGAGCATGTAGTCATCAAGAAAGTATCTAATATTCCTGTAAAATCTTGACACTGTTATCTGAGTATCATCAAGCTCAACAAACTTCCTTGGTAGAATCCATTCACTAGTTCTAAAAGCTGAACCTACATCTTTAAATTCAGTACACAAACTGTAATTCTGGGAAATATCCCCATTTTCCCAATTTTTGTTTGTGCCATGTTCATCTGAAGTTATCTCTGATATGAGACTCAACTTTGTGTTATCTTTGGATGAATTAACAGCTGGGAACAAGAAATTTTCAGCACTGATATTGTCATGATGAGGTTAATCAACACTTAGGATGTCTGCTGCTTCATCCAAGACAACTTCCAAAGTAGGTATAGACGATTCTCCAGAATCTAAAGCCTGACCAAAAGTTATAATTTCATGTTTATATTTACCACCTTTCCATAGTGAATCTTCACTTCTGGTGAGCAAGCTCAATAAGGCACCCGGTAGCTCTGAATCAAGAAGAACCACATCAGCAGCATCATGAATGTTTTGGTAGGTCAAATCTGGAGAAGCCCATTCAGCTTCAATAGAATAATCTAGCAATGCATATTCATTATCAGAACTGGCAGCATTCGTATTCAAGTTGTCATGAAAACTGTTTTTTCTGTCCCTTCAAAATTATTATATGCTAGAAGAGATACATTGTCATCTTTTTCATGTAGGCGCCATGTCAGATTTTTCAATCTGGAGTCTCCATCATGAGATTTATACACTAACACAGCACTACCATTTAGGTTTTCTTCATGCTTTATGCACTCAAATTCCACATTATCATATTTGTCTTTTATGCTGCTGCACCTTTTAGAGGGACCACTGGCAAGAGTAACAAAGTTGAAGATTTTGGTTTTCCTTTCCTCCAATTTGAAACTCTACTTCATATAGAGATTTTGCACATGAAGAACATCTACCGCAACAATCAATATCAGAATTCCAAACTTCTTCTCCAAAACTACTCCACCTTAAAGGCCGAAGCCCATCTACCAGCTTAAGCTTTTAGATGAAATGACACTGACGAAAAATTTAAGATGTTCTTAGAGAAAAAAGTCTCATGTCCAAATCTTATGTAAATCATGCATTTAAAAGAAAACATGTGTAATCAATTCAAGTTTCATGTTAAGAATATAAATGAATAGATACTTCCTTGTAACCATGATTTCCCTATATCGGATTTTATGGATATCATTGGTGTGAGAAATAAGATGAAAGGAAAAAAGGTCAGGCGTACAGCAATTCTCCATCAGCAAGCAAGTCGGCAATATGAGTCTCCTACTCAAATCTAATATGCAGAACTTCTCCAAGCCATATTCTTGACTGGGTCTCAAGAGAAACAAATTAAATGGACCAATTTCAGAAAACACTATTTATAGAAAAGATAGACAATTTAGTACTTAAAGGTTCACAACTCACCCATAAACAAAATCTGATTTACTACCCACTAAGTTGACCAAAGTTATTTCCATTGAATAGTTGACTATGGATGCTGTCTCATGTGCATACCATAATTTCCATTCTGATGTTGAACTTCACTCTTCAATAACTTGTGCTGATTTGTTTATGGACCAAACCTTCTTTCTTCGACCTTGATCAGTTCGTACATGAAGAGAGAGAGAGAGAGAGAGGAATGTGGGGATCGAAGAACCAAGGAATAATTTGTTCGTAGAAATTATATACAAAGCGGTGGTTTCTCTCGTAGTCTTTCTAATAGTGACTCTCTCTCTCTCTC